TCTAGAGATATAACATACAGCAATGGGGACAATGGGCATCCCTGTCTTGTTCCGTTTGACATCTCAATGGGTTCTGACCTCTCCCCATTTACCCCAATGACCACCGAGGGTATCTGTACAGCTTTCCTATCCACTCTCTCATCCTAGGCCCGATTCCCAAAGCTTCCAGAGTATCCATCATGAATCTCCAGTTTACCCTATCAAACGCTTTTTCAGCATCTATAGACAGTAGTACCACCGGTTCTTTTCCCTTTTTACTCTTTTGGATTAGCATCATGATCGTACTCCATTATCTTTTCCTTCCCTCCCTGGAACAAAACCCCACCTGATCCTCATGTATCCATCCAGGCATTAGCTCTTTCAATCTGTTTGCTAGGACTTTTGCGTACAGCTTAGTGTCTGTGTTCAATAGTGAAATAGGTCTATAGCTAGAACACTGAGAGGGATCTTTTCCCTCTTTCTGAATGAGCACGAGTTGGGCTTGTAATGATTCTCTTCTTACTTCCATCTCTCCACCTAGTGCATTCATGTAATTTTTGAGTTTTGGTACTAAGATTTCACTAAATTTTTTATAGTATCTCACTGTATAACCATCTGGACCTGGGCTTTTCCCCGACACTGTCCCCTTTAATGCTAGTTTTATTTCTTCCTGTGAGATATCTGCATCTAGGGAGTTTAGTTGATCTTCATTTAATTTTAATAACCTAGCCATTTCCAGATATTTCTTTCTTTTCTGATTTTTCTCACTGTCTATAGTTTCTGAACCTTCCAAGGGGCTTATATTATACAGTTTCCTGTAATATTCTATGAAGGCTTTGGTGATATCTTTATTTGAGTGTTTCATGTTTCCTTTAGCATCTTTTATTTTTTCTATATAATTTCTATTTTTCTTTTTCCTCAAGGCTCTCATCAGATACTTTCCAGGTCTTTCTCCCCATCTATATCTCTCACTTAAAACTCTATTATGTACTTTTCTCCTCTCCTCTTCTATCATTTCTTTCAGTTCTTCCTTCTGTTTTTTTAACTTCAGCTCTATTTCTTTTGTTATTCTATTCTTATGTATTTGTTCTAATTTACCTATTTCTTCTAAGAGTTCATTCATTTTCTCCTTTCTTTCTTTTTTCTTTCTTGCCCCAATCGCCATTAATATTCCTCTTATATAAGCTTTATGTGCCTCCCACACTGTGGCTGTTGACACCTCCCCTGTCTGATTCTCCTTAAAAAAGCGTTCGATCTCCTCCCCTATTTTCTGAGCTATTTCCCTTTCCACTAAAAGTGTCTCATTCAATTTCCATCCCAGCCCTCCGCTTTTCCTTCTCCCCCATTCCATTTTCATAGTAACTGGAGCGTGGTCTGACAAAGATATTGTCTCTATGTCTACCTGGGTCAGGTGGTCAATAATTGATGTTCTATTAATATATAATCTAATCTTGAATATCTCTTATGCATATTTGAGAAAAAAGTATAATCTCTATCTTGCGTGTGTGTAATTCTCCAGGCATCTACCAATTGACTTATGTGTAGTTCTTTTTTCAATAATTTCAGGGCCTTACTTCCTTCTGTCTTTATATGGGAGGTGGCGTCCCTTTGTGGGTCCATACAAAAATTAAAGTCCCCTGCCAGGATCAAACGTCCTTTTTTAAAGTCCATCAACTTCCTCAACACCTTTTTCAGATACTCCTCCGGTTTTTTATTAGGACAGTAAATGTTAGCCAGTGTACACTCGATCTCCTGTAACTTGCCCCTTAAGAACAAAAATCTCCCATCTGGGTCTGTTTTTCTATCTTCCAACTCGAACCTAACGTTCTTTGCCAGGCCTATTGCTACCCCTTTTGCTCTTTTAACCGGGGAATCTGCATAATACCATGTTGGGTGATTTTTAGACCTCAGCCTAACATTTGAACTTATCTCAAGATGTGTCTCCTGTAAAAATATCACTGAGGCATCTCTATGGTGTAATTCTTTAAATAATCTATATCTTTTCCCGGGGCAGTTCAACCCATTTATGTTATATGTTATAAACTGAATCTCTTCCATCTTCCTTAAATTTCCTCTTTTCTCCTCCATCTATATTTTTTATTTCTCTCTCCTTCTCCCTTCTCACTTGCTTTTATATCATCTTTTATTTTGCAGGAAAAACAACCTCCCTCTCCCATTTCCCACCCTCCAACCCCCTCCCTCCCCCCTCCCTCCCCCCCTCTTTTTAGGCCTAACATTTGCCTACTAATCATTTATGGATTAAAAATCCACCTTTGATTTGGTCCTTGGGCTAAAACTCCGTCCATGGACGACTTTCCCCTTGTCTAACCTCCCCATAACCTCCCAAGCCTCCCTGGATTTGTCACCGGCAGAAAAGAGAAGAAAAAAAAAAAAAAAAAAAAAAAAAAAAAAAAAAGAAGAAAAAATCCATAACTAAGGCAATAGAGTGGGGGTAGAAGGTGAGAGGAGAAGAAGAAAAAAAAAAAAAAAAAAAAAAAAAAACCTCTCTCTTCCTCCATCCCTCTCCCCCCCTCCACCTCTCCCCCCCACACATTGCCAGTCCTCTTTTCTCTTCGCTCTACTTTCTCATCGTTCTTCTTCCCAGCCAGGGATTTCCGTTCTTTGAATTTTTAAACTGTCACAAAAATTTTTCATATCTTCTGGAAACCTAAGGTATGCTGTAGTCCCATTTTTCCATCCTATTAAACATTCGGGAGTCCCCCATCTATATTGCACATTTTGTTCTTTCAACCTTTCCAGTAGGGGTCTCAAAGTTCTCCTTCTCCACAAAGTCTCTGGAGCCAGATCCGCATATATCTGTATGTCTCCTCCTTCATACTTAATTACTGATTTTCCCTTAGTCTTCTTCCAGATTTTTTCTTTGTCCCGAAGTTCATAGAATTTAACAATTATATCTCTCGGCCTTTCTTTCCCCAGGTTTCTCAGGATTTTTCCTTTTCTAAAGGTTCCTTCTATTTTAGACCTTTCCATTTCAGAGCTGTCTGTTATAATGTTAAATATTTTACAAACCACCTCTTGCAGACTTTCTCCCTTTAAGTTTTCTGAGACCCCACGTATTAAGATGTTTCTTTTCCTGTCTTTATTTTCTGTATCTCAGCCTTATATAACAGTTTTTCTTGGATTTTCCCTATATTAGTTAGTTCTTTTTCAAGTTCAGAGATAGCCTGGGTCTGACCTTTAACTTTCTCCTCCGTTTCCTCAACTCTCTCCAAGAGGTGTCCCAGATCACACTGCGAATGTTTACCATTTCTTGTTTTATTGTTTTCTCCAGTTCTTTAAACATTTCTGCCATTTCCTTTTTATTAGGTATTTGTAGGTCTTTTTCCGCCTCTGTATTGCCTGATATTTGCTGGTTACTAGTATCAGGGCCTATTGATACATACTCTAGGGCTTCTTTCCATACTAAGGTCTGCTTCTCCTTTTTCAGATCTGCTCTGAGGTCTTTCTGGGGTTACGTTTCCTTGGGATGTATATTTTTTAATTGTGCCAGTCTGGGACCCTTTAAGCCCACTTCCTTTTACATTCTTGTTTTTCATCTTTCTCTGTGGCGCTTATCCTTCTTATAGTCCTTTATAAATTTGTGGGTAGGGCGGGATATTATTTCTTTAAACTTTCAAGTCTCTGCCCTGTCCCCCTGCTGGTTTTTCTCCTTCTCTTCTCTTCCTCCTCTTCCTTCACCCCTCTCTCCCCCTCCTTCCCCCCGAGCCTCTCCTCTTCTCTCTGCGAGCCTCTTCCACCTTTTATACAGTCTCTAGGGGTCCCCCCTTTCATATACACTCTATTTCTTGGATGTCAGCCTAATAAATCTTCAAATGCAATTCACGTCTGTCACTCACCCTCCTCCTATGTCTTCTTCCAGTGAGTGCCTTTTCGGTCGATTCCTCTGAGGGTCTGTTCATGGGGGGGAACTCCCCAGGGTCTCTTCAGACTCCTTGTCCAGGTCTCAATGGTTCTCCTTCCACATTCTTTTAGGCTCCTGGGTTACTAGGGGGATAGGGGGAGAGTGTGTCGGCCCCCGGTAAACAGGTCGGCGCTGCTCTCTCCCCGCAAAACGCCGGCCGGCCGGCTTCCTGATCTCCCAGAGGTGCCTTGCGGCCGGTCACGTGATCGCGCCGGCCCCTCTCGTCTCCCAGCGTCCAGGGACTCTCTCTTCACCAGTCACCAGCCGCTCCTCTCTCTTCCCTCGTCCCCCACCCGCAGGGTTCTAACATGCCCCAGGGGATAAGCTTGGAGGCCTGGGGAGGTCAGACAACGGAGCTCCGTCCACGAGCTCCTACATTGAGCTCTCCCCTGCCGCCATGTTCAGGCTCCGATTGACACCAATATTGAACCTTATGGACTAAGATTGGTATGCCATTAAAGTTCAAGCGCATGTAAAATTTTCTCCTTTATACATATAGTTACCCAAAATAGGTGTAAAAGAAGTAAACCCTCTTTTTCCTAGTAATTTCTTAGCCAATCTCTCAATTGTGTGCATGATTACATTTTGTGCACAGGACCAAGAATAAGCTGCAAGCAAAAAGTCACCACATAAACTGTATAAATGAATGTTGCACTAAAAAAACCCTCAGTATTTTATATAAATCATTAGAAATCGAGTAGTCAAGATATATAGACCACAATGTGTCAATGTTAATAATGAGAATATATAAATCAATGCAAACAAAAATCTGTGAGAAATAAGTCACAGTCCAGTTCACTTCAATAATTCAGTGAAAGTGCAACCATCACCATCCCTTTTTGGCACTCAGATTTAAATTTTGACCTTCACCATAAAGGTCCACGATCGGGATGGATGGTGGTAGGTGGACACAATTCAAACAGCCAAAACAATGGGAATTGACCCTCACAGTATATGATTCTTTTACCGCCTCTCAACAGCCATATAAAGCAATGACAGGCACAAGGCGGTTCTCTCTCATTTTTGGAGGACGTCATATGACGCCCTCCCACTCTAACCGCGCATGCGTAGCTCCGGGAGCATACAGCGCGGCGATCGGTGGTGCGCTGTGTCCCTGGGACACAGCTGATCACCGATCAACGGAAAGAGCCGAAGATGTCATGTGGTCCAATCACAGCTGATCACATGTAAATAGGCATTTCTCTCCTCACTAGCTGTAACGCTGACAGCTCAAGAGGAGAGAAGAGCCAGTAATCGGCATTCCTCGGAGGGGACATGTACACTGATCATCAGGGCACTGATGATCAGTTTGCCATGATGATCAGTGTAGCTCCAGCAGTGCCACCTGTCAGTGCCCATCAATGCCAGCTGTCATTGCCCATCAATGCCACCTGCCAGTGCCCATCAGTGCCTCATCAATGCCACATATCAGTGCCTACCAGTGCACATCAATGCCACATATCGGTGCCCATCTGAGCTGCCTTTCAGTGTCTTCCTATCAGTGCCAGTCAGTGCCACCTATCAATGCCAGTCAGTGCCACCTATCAGTGATGCCAATCAGTGCCTGTCAGTGCTGCCAATCTGTGCCAGTCAGTGCCACCTATCAGTGCCCATCAGTGCTGCCTATCAATGCCCATCAGTGCTGCCTAATAGTGCTAGTTAGTGCTGCCTAACAGTGCCAGTCAGTGCCACCTAACAGTGCCAGTCAGTGCCGCCTATCAGTGCCAGTAAGTGCCGCCTATCAGTGCCAGCTAGCAGTGCCGCCTATCAGTGCCATATATGAGGGCTGCCTTTCAGTGCCCATCAGTGATGCCTGTCAATGCCCATCAATGCCACCTACTAGTGCCTCCTCACCAGTGCCACCTATCAGTACCCATCAGTGCAGCTTATCAGTGCCCATCACTGCAGCCTCATTACCGCACATCAGTGAAGGTGAAAAATCACTTACTTACAAAATGTTATAACAAAAACTAAGAAAAAACGTTATGTTTTTTTAAATTTTCAGTTGTTTTTGGTTTGTTTTTAGAAAAATAAAAACCCAGAGGTGATTAAATACCACCAAAAAAAGGAGCCAATTATCAGGAGTATATCAATCAGGTGGACGTGACACCCCAGCTCAGCACCACATCACCACACTAGTTAGGTATAAAGTATATAAAAAAAATAAGACATTAAGATCATCTTTATAAAAATTAGCTCTGCCAAATAATGGGAGTTACACTGTGCTGGATATTTAACAATACATGGATCTGCTTTTAATACAATGCACATTTTATGATTTACAGTAATTATCACTTAAATATTTAAAAAAGAGATGACCATCTTTTTAAATATTTTTTTATTTACACACATAATTAAAAATATACCTCTATCTCCTTGTCTTTACTTTTAATACATCTCTTTATCCTCATATACAAATGCCAATTTGCCAATCAAGCTGGGACTTCACAATCATGCATGAATGCCACTTATATTACTCCACACTATAGGTCATACAAAATTCTTAGATGGGATTTAAAGGTGCCAATATCAGTTTATAACACAAACACCTACAGCAGAGGCGTAACTAGAACCTTCAAGGCCCCGGTGCAAGAAACCATGAAGGGTCTCCCTGATCCTGGGGTCCTTTACTCCCATCACAGGACCCTTTATTACGATTGTGCTGTGGGCCACCTTGGGGTACCCCCACAGTGGTGAATCACCAGAGCCCAGTCACAAGTGTGACCTTTGTGGCCTTGGTACTTCCACCACTGGTGTCATTAGTTTTTTTTTTTTTGTTGTTTTATTTTTTATTATTTTTTTACCACTTTATTTTATTTATTGATTTTTTACAATTTAAATTTTACATATTTTTAGGACCCCATTGGGGGGCTTTTATGAAATATCAGGGGTCTAAACAGACCCCTGATATCTCACTTTTGAGACACAGAAAGGAACTGAGGACAGATTCATCAGTCCCTTTCGTTGCAGCCAGAGCTTCCTGTTCATTCATAAACTGAAGCACACAGTTTACTATGGCTCAGCTATGAATGAATAGCCCCTTCCTTGTATTCATTAAACAATAAGTTCACCTGTTAGACAAAAAATAATAAATGCACATTTTTTTTGCAGGTAAAAAAATGTGCATTTATTATTTTTGTCCAAAGGAGCCTGGAAAGAATAGCACCAGTGATCAGTAGATCGCTGATGCCATGCAGGTCTCTTTCAGACCTGTCAGAATATCTGCTTGTCATACAGGGATGTAAGCAGATATTCTGACAGGAAGCTTCAATGAACTACCACGCGGCTCCACAGCACCGTGGTAGTTCATTGAAAACTACAAGCCGACACGCACTCAGGCTGTCTGGACTTGCAGTTCATTCATTCACGTTGTGTGGGTGGAGCTGTTTTCAAATCTGACAGATAATATGGGGAAACTTTTCCCCTTATTATCTGTCAGGGGGGGGGGGGACGCAGCTGCAGCTATGGGAACATGTTACATGTTCCACCTTAAAAATGGGTAGAACATTAACGTGTTCCCAAAGGTGAACTTATGCTTTAAGAAGATAAGGAAGGGACCAGTGAATGACACATTTACCGCCCCCTTCCCACTCTCCATCTTGACAGATCCCATGCAGCAGCTGGCGGGAGGTGGGAGGGATTAACCTGGCAGTGTTGTGGGAGGGCAAGGGGGGCCAGGGAAACACACAAAGGCCCAGGCAGCAGGGTAGGGATAGGGAGGTGGTGGGGTGGCATCTGGAGGAACCGATGCCCTACATTTCCCTCCTGCAGTTGCTGAATATCTTCAGGAAGGAGAAGAGGAGAAGCAGTCATTCAGAGACTGCATGGAGGAATCGATTCCTCTACATGGCACCACCCCCACTGCCCTCCTATCCAAGTGTACGGGGAGGCACACAAACCCCCTGGAGCATTGGCCCAGGTTGCAATGGTGACCCTTGTGACCCTTGTGCATACCCCATTGACCTACAGTAAAAAAAAATGCTTATTAGTGTTTATTTTAGATATTTAAAAAGACTGATCTCATAAGCCATGAAATACATTAGTTAAAAGCATCCAAAAGGCTGTTGGTAATGTAATACATAGTTGTGGGATTTGGTTGGCTGTCCTCCCAACAGCAAGCTTGGGGAGGAGGTGGTCCTCACATACTTGGTACAATCATTGAGACTATCTATACCACCACATTTATTTCATAGAAACAGAGGAAGCTAGCTCATTGATCTCAAAAGATGTATTAATAGTGTAATAATGATGATGAAAGAAGTAATTTACAAGTCTTGTATACATCTGCAGGGAGACCATCCCCTCCTTGGGCCTAATTATTACGAAGTATTATCAACACTCTTTCTACTTAGAAGGAGAATCCAAGTTATCTATATTTCCCAACACCAAAACTGGCTGTTCATCTGTGTAAGCTATTTTAGAGGTATTTAACTTACTATAGAATCAATGGAATATATCTACTATATGAAAGGTAGAATAGACTGCTATGGACATTTCATTTTCTATTGCTCCATATGCAGATAACTGCTGAGCCCCACAGTATATTTGCTAATAAGTGCTCTACTGTATCTCCCTTCTTCAAAGTAATGATGCTTTGAACAAAAATCTATGCTCTGCCTTTTCAATATATTTTGTCACAAGAACCTGTGCCACTTCCCAATTCTTCAAAGAAATAATAAAAGTTATTAATATATTTGTCTTCCATTTTATTCACTTGTACCATCAGATTGCTCTCTCATTCCTTTGTATTTGCTTTAACAGCCAAGATTTGTTTCAAAAGTAGCCCTCAGAGATACACTTTTAAAGAGCCCAAACTACAAGTGAGGAAGCCATAGAATTATTCCAACCCTTAAAAAGTAATTTAGACCAGAATTATTTAAAGAGGACACCAGTAACAATCTTAAAGTATTACTAAACCCACAACAGTAAAATCAGTCTGTACAGTATATGCAGGAAAGCATGCTTGTTACACTCACTGTGGAACCTAAGGGGTTAATACTCTGCATTGTGTAAAAACGCTGTTTGATCCTGACTTCTCTGATCCTTCCCTTCTTCTAGTGCCTCCCCTCTTATCTCCTGATAAGACATATATTATAGAGTCACTCTGCACATGCTCACTTTGGTGTGTATTGCTAGAGAGGTTTTTTTTTGAGGGGAGAGTGCATGTGATCAGCACAGGGCCAATCAGCACTGTCCAGGCAGAGGTCAGTGGTCCCGAATCCTCCTACAGAAGAATGAAAATTCCTTCTAAGAGCTTTAACCAGTGCTCTGCTGGACACTGATATCAGTCACAAGACTGCTCTAACTGCTGGTGAGAAAAGGTATTTAGCAGTTTATATTTACTAAAATAATTGCATTTCCATGATGTGTGTACTGTGGGAGACCATATATAGTAAATGAAGGGTCCAGGGGTTAGTAACACTTTAACAGATAAGGGTTTAATCTACAAAAGAAAAAGGTATCACTATTTTTACTTTTTTAAACTGTATTGCCAATGGACCATGATCAGAATTTGCCCAGCCATATATTTACTCTTATGGTATAATATTAGGGGAGAGAACTGCTACATCTATCCTGGACAAAATTGCATGCATTTTAGAGAGACAAGAATATCTTTTCTCTCTGGTGTGTGTCAAACACTATGTACAGTATCTGTTAACCCAAGCTCTTCTAGTAACTTGCCAAAAAAAGAAAGATAGGCACAAGACTGCAACTCAGGAGGAGGATGTCACTCTATTTCAGGCAAGATAAAGTTGAAGTCTTCTACTACAAGAAGAAATTCAGAAGAAACACGAAGAAGCACAGGAAGAAACTTGCTAATCTGAAATACATTTAGAAAGAAGTTTCAGCACTTTACTAGCATATGGTGGGGAAACATAAATAGTATTAATTATACACATAGTGCGAAACACTGAACCATATATATAAATACAGAGTTGGTGCTTCCACTAGGTGTCCGCCTAGGGTGCACTGCCACCTAGGGGCACCTGGGCGCAGCACAGGCTGGCACTCTCTCTGCCGCCACGTCATGAATGATCCTCATCCTCAGCTGAGGGGAGGGCGACAGAGGGGGAGATATAAATTACTTAGGAAGATGCCGGGTGTCTGGGGCCAGTGAAGCAGCTGAGCTACTACTCATTCCAGTGTTCCTCTCAGACTCAGTCCCTTTACTGTAAGCCGTCTGGGGGCTGCTGATCACTGTGGAGTTCTAGCCCTTCTCTTCCCATTCATCAGTGGTAGCGGAGCTGAGCCTGCAGAGGAAGGTAATGTCTGACTCTGATGTCTTGTGTCAGTGTGAGTGTGACCCGGCTGGCCAGCCAGTCATTTATCACATGTGCAATGTGTCAGTGAGTAATAAAATCATCACAATCCCAAAGGCTGCTCTTCCAGTGTCTGCTGGGCCTGCTGATCTGTGTCAGTGTTGGGGGTGGTGTGTTGTGTCAGATCTGTCACCTTGTGGGATCACTCAGTTCAGGTTTTCTCTGTGTGTGTGTCATATGACAGTTGTATACAATGGATGGCTTCATTCATGCCATCCATTGTATACTAGTGCCTAGCTGTGA